TTAGTTTCATTTTTAATTTCAATTTTTATAATAATAAAATCAATATTAAACCTTGTTGTATATATAGTTTGAATATTGTGAAATTGAAATTCCGTGTCTCACACAAATCTCTTGGATTTAGTTAAACTAATATTTATTTCGTTTTATGGTAGTATCCAATTATTTAATTATTTGATTACTTTCTTTTACTATAGCACTCAAGCTATTTAATTATTTACAGGGCAAGTTTCCTCACTTCCCTTCCGGTAACATTTTCTCAGCAGTTGCTATGTTTGCTGCCTGAGCCAGAACGTGTCAATTATTATCTCCTCTGATAATAATCCCAGTATCCTCCTTGATACTGATATGTTGTGTTTATATAGACGGTTCAGTGTTTCTTAACTGACTGCACCTAGCTAGGGTTTCCACTTGTTTAGGCGTTGGCCTAATCTAAAATAAAAATAAAGAAAATAAGATTAAAAGAGAATACACACACTATACTTATCAAAGGCGTCCCCCTGGTAAGATAGTAATTAATTAATAATTAGGTTAGAGTTAAAGGTTTATATGGTTTAGGAAGCGGGTGGATAATTCCACTGGCAATAGATTATTTTAAGAGATATTTATGTTTGTATTTTATTAATAAGATATTATTGTTATTACAAGATTGTAGTTAAGAATGAATTAACTGGTGAACTGATCATTACATGAAAGAGAAATTTACAACGTATTTATACATGTTAAAGGTTCTATCATCTAGTTATCCGACTTCGTTGAAATCCTAATTTATACTAATTAATATTTTCCTTAATTATTATTTAAACCTTCCATTTAGAATTATTTTCAAGTAATTTCTAGTCATCATGAGTCATGTAAAATTCTTTCATTTAAATATTTTTCTGAGACTTTGTAATCTGTTACACTTTAGAATGTTGGAATATTTATATCTCCAATATTTGGGTTATTTTCCGAGAGCTATTTATTTGATTGGTGCGCCTTATTAATTAGTGTAACATTTATTAAATTGTACTGGTTTATTTCTTGTTGAGTTATTCCGTGATAATCGTTTCCACATTTTCACTTCGTGATACATGTAAATCATTTCCGATTTATATGTTCGTTCCCGTGATTTATAATATACTATTTTACACTGTTTCTATTGTCTATGCCCATACATTGTACAAATACATACCATTTTCATATACACAAATTAGAGATAGGAACTTACATGACCCAGGGTTCAAATTGAATCAGATTTTTTTTTTCATTTTTCACTTGTCAAAAAATTATGCAATCAAATATTAATAAAGAATTAATATATTACAACAACCCTACCCTAATACTAAACCTAGAAACATATCATCAAATTAATCACCTTTAAATACATGCTAAAAAATAAGTAAAAAAAGGAGTATTGCTTGGAAGTATTAAACAGGAAGGTAATGTTGTGAAATGTAAATTATGTGTGGAAAAAGAATTGAAATTTTTTCAAAATATTAGTGGGATTTAAATGCAGAACATAATATTGATAAAGATGATAGATTATTATTGACATGGTGCGCACCATTTACTGTGCTATGCTGCCAAATTTCACCAAAAACATTAGTGCTGATCCATTTATTTTAGATTAATTGATCATGAATGAATCAGTGAGATGTTGATCATTTTGTTATGAAATTTTGTCACCAACATATGGGCCAATTTGTTCAATTGATGCCCAGTGATTAAAGGTTTCTGGTCGAAACTGCTTCTATTAGTAGCCGAAATTGCCCAAATACTTTGGGCAAAAATTATTTTTTTTATAAGCCCAAACTACTTTTTGTTATTAGCTGAAATTGGGCAAAATTATTTTAAAGTTGTTTAAGTTAAAACAAGTTGATTCATATCGTTTTTTAATGTTCATGCTTATAGAAAATGTTGAGAAGCCCAAATTGCCCAAACTAGTTTGGGCTTTGAGAAAACAGTTTGGACCAGAAACCTTACCTGTGATATCTAAATGTAGATCAATTTTCTATGTTCTTTATATAGAAAACTGCATACCACCACATTTCACCACACATGCGTATAACTCACATAACAGTTGCACTTGTGCACCTAAGCAAACTTGTTCATCTATATTCATATTACTCACTACTTTGGTAATCCCATTTCAAAATAGACTGGTCAAGAATAATCCCATTTTGAAGATTAGTACATTTTTTAGTTAGGACACTATATTGACTTCTAAAAATGAGAAAAACAAAAGAGCAAGAAATAATTTGTCATTTATGTCATAATACCCAAACAACAAAGTGGAGAAGGGTAACTGAAGATGCCTTGATCAAATGTAAAGATAATGGTATTAGGTTAGAAGTTGGCAAATATCTATGTAATATTTGCTATGCACAATATATTTCAAACTTTATTTATAATTATGGTAACAAAAAAAAAACAACTTTTTTCATTCCTTGCCATCTTCTATGAGTCCTAATCCATCCACCAACTCTTCTGCTAATGCAAGTTTATCTTCTAACTCTTCTAACAACTCAACCAAGTTAAAGTCTTTTAATGATTTAAGTTCAACATCACAAAAAAATGAAAAGCTAAAAAAAGTTGGAAAGGAAATATATTATAATGCAAAAGAAGTATTACAAAATTCTAATATAACTTCTTTTAATCTGAAAAAAATTACTTTAGAAATTGATAATATAGATTATGAGATAGATTTTATGAATTCCAACATTACTGATAGTAACTTAATATTAAGGCAAGATGCTGTTGTGCGTTCATGTGATGAAGCAATGATTTCTAGGGATGCATATAGATCACTTTCAAAAAATTACCCAGAGTTAGAAAGGTATTATAAAATAGAATATAGGCGTCAAGTAATCCAAAACATCATTAATAACTTAATTCCAATTAATATATTTAATATCAATGACAATGATGAAAATGTTGAATCAAGTGATGGAGCCTATTGTTCAATTATACACATATTAAATATTATAATTCCTTTATTAAAATCTTCAAAAACATTTAATTTATTTAATTGTACATTAAAAATCAAATTAAGTGGTGATGGTCATTTGGTTGGAAAAGTTCAGAGCCAAGTTATATTGACATTCTGTCCTACTAAATGAAAGTGAAGATGTCTTAAAACCAAGCCATCAATATTGGTAAATTTTTTATTTTTATTTATTTATTTATCTATAATCCATTAATTATTAATATTGATTACATATAATTTTTATTAATATTAATTATAGTATATGTATTTATATTGGAAAGGAAAATAAACTTCTTTAGAATATTGCTGGTCATTATTTAATGAAGAACTTTCTAATTTGAAAACAAATGGATATGTTGATCCAGAAAATACCTATTGGAATGTTGAATTTTTTATGTCTGCAGATTGGAAATTCATGCAATTGGTTCATGGTATTAAGGCTCCTACAGCTGAGTATTTTTGTCTTTATTGCAATTGTTCTAAATCACAAAGAGCAAATATGGAGCTCCAGTGGCATAATGATTATAATTCAAAAACTAAAAGTAATTATTTAAATTTTATATGTAGAAAAAAATAACTACATCAGGAAAATGGTGTTGTATATTATATTTATGCATATCCATGCAAATGCAGGTGATTTACATATAAAATATGCCAAACAGTATGTATAAAGTTCATATATATACAAATATTATATGTGAATCACCTACATTTGTGCAGGGTATACATAACCCATTTTTCTGATGTATAAATTATATTATTTACATTTATTTATTTTCAAAAGGTTATAATTATGATTGCCTATTACCATTTGTTGATTATAAAAACTGGATACCAGATGAGCTCCATTCAATGCTAAGGATAAGTGATATTTTATTTGAATCTTTGTTTTATGATCTTAATCATAACCCAAAAAAAATTGAAAAAGAAATTTCTAATCAAATAATTTTAGAAACCAAAAAGAATTGGAATTTCTAAATTTGAAAATTTTTGATCTAAAAAGTTCAAAATTTAAATGGACAGGCACTCAAAAGTTAACATTTTTAGAAAATTTTCAGGTTTCTAATTTTTACAATGATGAAAAAGGAATAAAAATAGAAAATCTACTCAATGTACATACTTTTTCGAATCAATAACTCATTTTATGTCAAATACACTATCCACCAATTTTATCTTTGATTACAAAAAGATGTTAACTTTAATATTTTAGAATGGTGGAAAGATCATCAATACATTTATTCAAGACTTTCAAGATTCACTACCTATTATCTTTCAATCTCATGTTCCGGTGCGCCCAGTGAAAGAAAGTTTAATGCAGCTAGACTTACAGTTAATGAACTTTGCTCAAATTTAAATACACAAACAATTGACAGTATTCTTGTATTATGAAGCTTATTATAGTGAATTTTTTTTCTTGTGATTCTATTCAACATTATAAGTTTTGGAAATTTTTTGTGCACAAGTCAAGTTCGGGCTGAGATTTTTATAATTTTTATGTGCACAAGTTGGTTGCAGGTTGGGTCCAGATTGCAAATTATAAATTTATATGGGTTCGGGTCGGGTATTCATTAAATTGTGGTGACCCGTGTAGGCCTTTAATACATTTCGTTGCCTCCGAAATCACTAATATTGTACAAAATTCAGCAAACAATTTTAGAAAATCAGTCAATATGTAGCGGGTATAATGTTACTTCGTTTTTTTTTTGTTATATATACAATAAATCAAATTATTATAATTCGGTTACTTTAAACCCTATTCCTTCACATTCTATGATATTCTTCTCACTCCCTTCTTCTTCACCAGCTTTATCATTATTAGAAGTTACTTTTGTGATTTTAAATTTTACACCTACCATAATTTCGGAATAATGCATAACTGTTGAAGTGTGTAAACTTATTGGACCTGTTAAAATTTTAGATTTTCCTTCTGCCAATGCCATAAATATTATCAATTGGTCTTGTAAATATCTAATAAAAATTAAATATAATTTGATCGATTATAACATATAATTATATTAAATGAAATATAATAATAAGTACATACTCATCTACACATCCTCCATGTCTCAAATTTTTAATTAATTCTTCTGCAGCATTTTTTCCCAAATCTTCAGCAGTTAATTCTTTAAAAAAAAATATATATATATATTATAATGTTATTGTGAGTTTCTATTTTTAAAAATTGAATCAAAAATTTTAATATTAGCCATTAACTACAGTCAACTCTCTCTTTAATATAAAACTGCTCTTGAGGGAGTGCACTTAGAGAGGATCGAATGCATTGTATATTATTTACTTTTATCAATTACTGCATTTCCACTTATAATACATCCTGTGTTTGTTATTGCCCATAACCTTGGTAAAAGAAATTGATTAATTTAATATAAACATAAATAAAAATATATACACTCCAAAAACCTACACTATGTCAAAACCTTCACCAGATGAAATTTTTGCATGATTAATTTCAATATCAGGTTTGATATTGTTTAACTCTGGTAAATCTGAATTATTTACAATCACTTTTGATGCAGCTGAAATTATTTGTTGTGCAATCTAAAAAATAAATCAAAATAAAATAAGATGATATTTTGGTTTATAAAATTGTAAAATGTGTATATATATATTACTTGATTTGGTACTTTTGCTATTGTAACTATTCTTTTTTTAAAAAACATATTCAAGAGTTAGGATATTAGAAAAGGATCGGATTGAGTAATGTATTAAGCAAAGATACTTTTTAAATACCCTTTAATTTGAATTACAGTTCCCCGTTCAATCAAACTAATTGGAGTAAAAGCCTTAACAACTAATGGATCAACTCTTAAAACAATTTCACCGCCACCTTTAGGATAATAACTATGTTAAATAATTTATTACTGTTATTATTATTATTATTATTATTATTGTCATTGTAATTGTTATTGTATGAAAAAAAAACCAATCTCTCTCCCATATATATTTTATTATCACATACCCATGATTTGTTATACTAATATTAAAATCAAAATTAAATCCATTTGTAACAATCGGTTTGAAAACTTGCAAGAAAAAATTAATTGGAGGTGCTGATCGAACAGCAGTGCCACCTTTTATAATGACTTTTTTTGACTTAGGTGGTAATGCTAAAATAGATGATGGTGGAGCAGAAAAGATTAATGGGATCAAAACTGTTTGAACCAGTAATGTGACACTCCTATAAAAAACACAAAAGTTGTAGAGGTACAAGTTTAGATGAAGGATTAAATTGAAGATTAATATAAATTAATATTAATATATATATATATATATATGCACCCAGCTGTTTTTATATCTGCAAAAAAAGTATTCTTTTCTTTTAAAATTTCTTTTGGATAAAAAGTAAATTCTTGAGATCTAATCTTTTTTTTTAAAAAAAAGAATTTTATTATGTTTTTTTAGTAATTATAAATTTTGATTTAAAATATAAATTTTACCTGACCTCCTTGCAAATCTCCTTGATAAATTTCATTCAAAAGTTTAAGAGAAGTTAAATGTTGTTGTTTCAATCCTAATCAATCAATCAATCATCAATAATTAATAATATAATTAATAATTAATAATTAATAATAATAAATATAACAACAAAAACCTGGCTGATCTCGTCTTAATCTAACATTAAACATTCTTATTGGCTTTTTTAATAGACAACTTGAAAAAAAATAAAATTATTTAACTATGATTAATTTTTAATTTCACAAAAAGAAATTTAGATTATTATTATCGCGTGTATGATTGATTAGTAGTATACAGTTGTTATTATGATGATAATAATGTTTTACCTATATGCTACACAATTTCGAATAACTAAAGAAAAATGAATAAATGAGAATTAATTAATTGTTTGCAAAAAAAAAAAATAATTGTTTCATTTACCTTGACCTCCACCCTCTAAAATACTTCCATCGAGCGTAACTAGTTCTGAACTATTACTACCACCACTATTATTATTCATATTTTATTTAATTAATACTATATAATAAGATAAGAATGTTTTTTATGCAACTTCTTTCCTTATGCCTAAATTTCGCTTTATAGCTTTAATGAGATAGAGATATTTTCTCAAAAAAATTATTTATTGTAGTGCTATTCTTTTTTAGTACATGTACACGTATTTTTACCATATTTATAAAACTTGTTTTTTGTGAATTTCATATTTAAAAAAACAAAAACCAAGCCTCGCGTGCTAAAAGTAAAGGTTGTTTTACTCTCAAAAATTAATTCGCATATACAGTATATATTTCAGACATAGATAATAGATAATAAAGACCAATTAAGAAAATTCGTTGAATCGAGCACATTTTTATGTTTTTAGAAAAACTAGTGCGATGACCAATATTGAGTGCCAAGTAAAATTTGTTCCTCATAACAAGATCGACTGTATTTTTTTACATTATGCAATCTTCAAAGTCAAAACGCAAAAACCAACAAGCAAATATAACTTACATACCAAGTAAAAGTTGTTAAAGTTCCGATAGTAGACAATGTTAAATTTTTTATATTTAATAATCAGTCATTCTGAGCTATGTTTTTGTCTTTTTTTGTAAAATTAATTTCTAATAAAAGTTAATGAATATCCATCAATCGTACAGTCCTAGGTTGTATGCATAACAGTCATATATTTATTGTTGGTGTTGTTGCAAGTGTTGGATATTATTATTGTCTCAATAGAAGAGATTTTATTTAGTAATATTAATGTATAAACTTTATTTTCAAATTCATATTCCGAAAAAGTATTACTAATAAAGCGACAAAGGACGATGAGTACATTCAAGTTTGTTTTCCAATTTTTTTTGATGCTGCAAACAATTTACTGTGCATTTGTGCTCAAAAAAATGATCAAAATCATGTATTTTTCCGCAAAAATATCCGCAAATTTGCGCAGCATCATGTAAATATCCAATTTTATTGGTGGGTTGGGTGCGTGTTATCCTTATTTAGAAAATGATTTGGCGATTGCGGATATTTTTGCGGAAAAATACATGATTATAAAATGATCAGCAAACTTTATATTGAATGTTTTTCGGAATTATTTTCAATATTAATATTTACAAAAAAAAAGGAATATCCTTACTAGTACGAAATGCGGAAAATATTGTAAATAATGATATATAAGTATGATCCATTTTCAATTTGGTTTCCTTCATTTATCTAATGCAAAATGGAAAATTTACCTTCGGAATTTCTGATACAAGTATATACTTACAATAAAACCCCCATTTCACTTATCCTTGTTAACAAACACATTTATAAATTATTTACGAGTCCACTTGCAAAAGCCAAATGGGCTTTAGGAACCTTTGGAAAAACTCATGCATTGTTTCATGCAATTCGACTGGGAAAAACTTTTATTACGGTTGATGTTATAAAAGCATTGTTAAAATTAAAAGCAAATTTTTCAAGATACCTTGTGCAAATATGTTTTGCGGAAAGATCGACACAACAGACCGAATGTAATGTTCTTTGTGGAATATATCCAAAAATATCATGGTTCTCCGAAATGTCATTAGAAGCATATATAACTTTAATTAACGAGGGTACATCTAGATTTGGAACCGATGCGCATCTAAATACAAATGATGCCAAAATGTTTAGTTTTTTGAGCGGTCAATTACTACCTGATGATCAAGCATCAATATTAATCAAAAAGAATTTGAAAGTAATCGAAGACCTAATTGTGAATAAAGAATTTACACCATTTCCTCCAAGGCCAAAAGTCTCAAATGACAAGAAAAATATTTTAGCAAGAGATGATAGTGAATTTCGCATGGTTGCAAGAGCCATCATATTAGAACCCAAAATTTTGCATATGTGGAAAAGAATAGGTTATGACATTCGCAAAGATGTTAATGATTTGGTAATGCAAGGCTGTATTCTAAAACTTTTACCACGAAATCCTCCTATCGGTTGGCATAATCCGGATAAAAAAGATGTTATAAACCGATTGAATACTTTCATAAGCATCGGATTCAAATTAACCAAATCTTCGATGGTTGATATTTTACATCTTTATGAAAATCAACCTAGAATCTGTGGTTCCATTTTGATGGAATCTTTTCGTGAAGTTAGGAAAGAATCAAAATTTGTCACTGAGCAAAAATGCTTAATTGAAATTACTCGGATTGACAGAAGAATAAATTATAAAGTATTGGATTTTTTGAAACATAAAGGAACGTCAGAATTAGAATTTTTATTTTTAAAAACATTCATTTATCATTTTTTTACAACAGACATTAAAAAAGAATTTGACAATTTGGAGACTTCATTTATTAAAGATGAACAAGTAAAATCGTCCAATAAAAACAACAGCAATGACAATCAACATTTATTTGTATATGATTTTAAAAAAGAAACTTTTACTGACATGTTGAAGAATTACATAAGTTCATGTATCAAAAAACCAACTGATGGACTTACTCTAAAAAGTACTCTTTATAGTTGGGTATTGAAAAATTTCAATGTAAATTCAATAAATACAAGATTATGTTTCCACGATATTATTTTGTCCAAACTGTGGATTGAAACACATCCCCACCATCCTGAGAGAAATGTGATTATGTCAATATACAAGGAATATTGCAGACGCTGTGTACCATTTGAAGTTTTCCATTTGAAGATGTTAAGAAAATCAAACAACTTATCCACATTAAAGCCATTTTTTGGAATATTTTTACCAACCGTTTTTAACATAAAACCAACATTTCAATATGAACAAAATTATAGTAATCAATTAGATCCTGGGAAATGGTTTCGTGAATTAGAGAAAGAACACAATAATACATCAAAAGCCACTACTTCTAGTGATACTTTTATCAATTTATTCAATATGTTCTGGAAGCGTATTAATGAAGAAACATCATTATTAAACTTGTCAGAAAAGTAGACAATGAATTATAATTTACATACAATGTGATATTTTTAGTGATGGGTGTTTGACCGTATCATTTTTTGTAAATTTTTATATTTAAATATTATTGAAGCAACTAATCAATTTAAGTTATCTTTTGCATATTAGAATTCAAAAAATAGGGTTTTTTATAAAACATTCTTTTTTACCTTGATTATAATATCAATTGTTATTAAAAGTATGTTTAGTTAATAAACAATGATTTTTCATATATAATAATTAATATATTTTATAATGAACTTTTTTTAACAAAATGGATTTTTGATTATACATGAAGAACCATTCCGACTTTTTTTATATTTTTGATAGTAATGGTAATAGTCGAAATATTTGAATACTTTTGGATAGTAATACACCGTGAGCATGCTAATTCCTTGATTTAACGGATTTCTCGATACAATAACAACTGATTTTTTTAATTTCCCAAACTATCCGTAATAACAGCCTATTTTATCGGTAAAAAATAATTTCAACTTTGATAAAGTTTCAAAATATCTCAGATCAAGCGGAGTTGATGTGAATGTCTGTCTGTTTGATTATATTACCGTTGCACCATCAATCTCAGTTTAAACAAGTATATTTATAAACAAAAAAGTATGTTTTAGGCAATGATGTCAGCTGGCAGAGAAAAAATTGGCTAAACTGGACGAGTCCAACGTATAACTTGAATATCGTCTTAGCAATGACCATGACACAGTCCAAATTACGGCATGTTGTCAGTTCCAATTTTTAATTACATCAAAAGTCACGTGAGTGAGTCAAGTGATTAACATTTTTCAATCATAATTATCCAAGTCTGAAGTGATTATTTAAAATTTTGTCATCCTTTCCTAGAACGATTGTTAAGGTTGTTATTGTACTTCCAACCACAAAAAAAAAAAAATGCTCGGTAGTCAGTCATCAGATGGTGACTCGACTAATATTTTACCAAAAAATCATCGTCCCTGTTACTTTATTTAGAAACGTCATTTAATAATTGAAATTACTATATTTAATACTTTATTTATAATAGTTATACTTTAAAAAATTTCAAACTTATATTTCAATTTTATTCCAAGAAGAAATTAAAGAAAGAGAAATAATAAAAATTTAAAGAAAAGCTACCCACACCACATTATCAATAAATTAATCTTCGTATTAATTTGAATTTGAATTACATGTCTCCATACTTCTGTCATTATTTTAGTCAACCTAGGAATTATCGAAGAGAGAAGAAAATCCATCCATCCTGAGTAAGTCATAACTGATATAAAGAATTGACGCAACTGGCAAAGCTTAAGAGATTAATATATTCGAGATCAAAGAACAATAAGTAAAGAGATAATCTAAACTATAATAGAGAATAAAATAATATACACACTTGTTATACGAGTCAAAACTTACTGCATAATTGGCAACGATACGTCTATTAATATTTTAAATATACAATAACTCTGTTGTTATAAGAAAAATATTTATAATAAAAATCTACCGATTAAAGAAAACTTTCTACACTATGTCACAATGACAAAACACCATTGTCCCATATGCAAAGCAACTCCTCGTACACCATATTGTAAAAAACATCAAATCGTTTGTAGAATACATCGGAAAATTCATCTGAAAAAGGAGGAATGTCGGGTTTGCAAGAGAATAAGTATTTATTACTTTACAATTTGAAATCTAATTAAAAGTATTATTAATAATTGACTATTATCTCATCCTCTTTAAAAAATTTGTAGAAAGGCTAAAAGAAAACTCGTTGCCATATTTACTAATTTAATATTAACAGTCATGCTTGACTAGTGCATGAAATTCAGTGCGAAGGATTGTGTTACATAATAACAATCCCTCCTCGCACTACACGTAAATTTCATACATTGCATGCACATAATTATCTAATATTAAAATAAATTAATTAATAACAATATTTTTTTTAATTATAATCCGTTGAATCAGAATAATATTTTGATGGCAATCAACTTTACATAACAATTTCAACTAATTGAGCCAATTATTATCATTAGTTGAAAATTTTTTAATCCATAACCAAAACATATTGTAATTTACCTCATTAGGAACTTATTTCATATTTGTTGTCACTGTATTCATAAGATTTCAAGGTAAAAGTTTTGCAATTGTTAAATATTGCTTTATGAACTTTTCTAGGAGCCACCCGAACCAATTTTTTGAAGATTTTTAAGGCTTACTATATTTATAAAAATTAGTGTTCATTCTGAATTGCCTCATTGAGCCATACTAACCAATTATTCTTGAATTTATCAATAATTGCTTTTGTTTTCATTGATTATTCCATTCTTCGTCGCATCATTTGTTTCTTTGCTATCATAATAATTGGAGGAAAGTGATGTTGGTTTGGATAATTGTGACGAAGGAATTCCTAAATTCTTCGTTATTACTAATAGGTATTTGTAGAGCTTCATCACCATCATTTGAATGACTATTTATTGTTTTTATCACAATCTCAATATTTCTTTGTTCTGCAGTCTATATAATAGTATTTGATGATGATTTAGAATTAATTATATCATACAAACAATAAATAAATAAATATGTTTGCGAAAGGCAACAAATTTAAAGCATGAATAATTCGATTTATTAAATTTGCATTATGTTTCATTACTCCACTTATTCAGAGATATTACCAATAAATCCTTCAACTGTCATTGTTGTATTTACACATGTCAATATTTTTTTTTATTGGTATATACTCCCAAAACACGTGATTCTGCTACCAGACAAATTAATGTCAAAAAATCCAAATCGATTGTGTTGGTCACCAAAATTATTTTGAACAAAAGTATGTCAAAACTAAATCAAAAGTCAATAGTCAAAATCAAAACTCGACTTATGGCGAAGCCTTTTGACTTTAGCACGGTTGCGAAACTCTCTAGTTTTGGAAAACAACACTAGTTAGATTGATAATTGTACTTACATGCCTGGGGTGTGTGAAGGGGTGGGAAATTGCATGAAATTTTAAAATTTCATGTGCATTTATATTCGGCATTACTACTTTTAACATTTTTTAATGCGTTATTTATTCATTATTAAAAATATCGTCCTGTCAATATCACTATTATCAACATTATCAACATTGTCATCACTATCATCACCAGTATCATCACTATCACACTCTCATCAATATCTTCACTTACATTTGTAACTTTAATTTATCTTTGGGGGTTTCAATTTATTATTAATATATATATAAACTAATTTTAAAACACGGTCATTTGTCAATTTATTTCGTTTTTTATCATGTATATAAGAAAGTGTAGACCAATTCCTTTCTGCTGCAGCTGATGAGGTAAGAATAGAAATTCAATTCAGGTGACACAGCTCCAAAATTACCTTTCCACCAGGTTAATAAATCCATATTATTGGTAGATATCCATGCCAAATTGGTTGCCCGATATACCACTACGAGCTTTATATTGTAAAATTTAATTTCTGCATTTTCTGTATGTGACATTGCATTTTTTTCATGCGCATGGAACATCACTGGGTGCGTACCTTACTCGGCGATTAAGTAACTAAATACTGTGGATATTATATCCTTAATTTTATTTATCGTCCGTCGAATATCAAGTTTTGTTATCAAAAAATTTTTTTAAATCATATGTATGTGTGTATGATATAATCATAAATGCTAGAGATAACTGTTTATTTATTGCAAGGAAAGGAAAATCCTTATTATATCCTTTATTTGGCGTTATTGTATACATGATTCACGCGTGAAATTCAAATTAACCAATCTCACCACAAAATTTTCACACGATTTGGATTGGGTATATGCAGGTTAAGTATAGTACACTTTTTTGCAGGGCCTTTTGAATTAGGACTGTTTAATTGACAATATTAACATTACAATACCAATAATTCTTTATAAAAATTCGCAATAATAATAATGTCATTTATTATTATCTTGATATTGGTGATTCTTGTTCTTTTTGGTTATTATAATTTTTATAATAATATGATAAATTGCACGTAATAACGCACGATTAATAATGTATTATTATTATATACAAGTGTATGATAGATAATACGTTATTATGTATAATAATAACGTATGTTAATTAATATATAATACCATATGCTAATTAATGTAAATAAGAGATGTGTAGATAAACAGTTATATAATATTGTGAGATTGTATGCGGGTTAAAAAATTGAATATTCATGGTGATGCTACTATGATCCTAGTATAACATCATAGTTTATAATTAATTTTCTTAATATTATGTTTTCATTTATATTTTCAATGCGGGTTATGTCAAAAGATTAAAAATAGAAGATTATTATGTTGACATCACATGATTTAATTATTCAAAATTTTTTTGATTTAACGGATATCTTGATTTAGCGGATAATAAATTTCCTGGTACAAACATGTCCCTTAAATCGAGACTCACTGTGTAAGTCTTATCGATGGTAAGTCTTCGAATTATTATTTTTTTGTGGTTTATGGCCATAACAACAAAAGTTAAGCAACTAAAGAAAGAAATAACAGTGCAGATGATCCATAAAAAACTAGGTATATGTTAGGGGAATTCTTTAATTTGGGAAGCCTGCTATTATTATGTAGAAATTAGTAATGGGCAGAAGAGAAAAAATGCTAGTTTCATGAGCCATGTAAAAAACTGCCATAATAATTTTTAGGAAGAGATGATATTTTCTTATCGACTGATGTTAAAAATTTTTAATAATGAAACTATATTACTCTATTTTATAATATAAAGTAAATGTCAGCTCACAATATCGTAGCGTAATGTAAATATGCAGAAAGGATAACTTGCTGCAAGGTGAGGTCCCTTTTCTTCTCAAGTATCTTTGCTTCAACTCGAAAAGTAGCTTTAATTACCATCCAGCTCACTCGGTTGATAAAGGGTCTCGTTTCATAATTTTGGCTTGAAATCAAGAAAGGATGATTACCTGTTGTGAGTGAACGTATGATTCCCAAGGATGTATATTTG